GACAATCCCCCCCCCCCCCGACAAGGGAGAGAGACAGGTACACAGTGACATGTGTTTTGGTGTGATACATTAAGCAAGAGTCTGAAATGCTTGCAGCATCAACTTAAAGGATGATGCAGTACTTGCCAGGCGGACAGGAAGGAGAGGCATTCCAGGTAGAAAGAGCGACTCTGTGTGATGGCTTAGAGGAAGTGAGGCGGGCTAGGAGGATGATTCAGGCAGGGTGGGTCAGTTCACAGAGGGCCTTTTAGGCCATGCCCTGAAGTCTGGAGTTAGTCCTAAAGATCAGAACAGTCACACCTGGCTGCACTTTAGAATTACCTGGGAAATTCTGAAACCCAATTAATGCCCAAGCTCAAACCCTGACCAGTGAAGTCATTTGTTGTGAGGGGAGAGCCCGGAGAGAAATATTTTCGTGCAAGCGTCTGGTGAGTGTAAGGTCCATCAGGACTGGAGAGTCACAGCACATGGAAGAGGTCTGCAGAGTTTTTCTCTAACGGGCCGGGCAGTACGTTTTCAGCGTGGTGGAGCATACAGCTTCTGCCGCAGCTGCTCAGCGATGCTGCTGTGTGTGAAAGCAGCGCCGACAATATGTAACTGGAAGGGGTGACATTAACCTGTTTTTGTCTTTGTGTAAAATGTCATTTTCGTATGGTTCAACCTAATAGTCTGGGTCCGGTTTTTTCCCTTACAAGCGTTACTGCCGCAGGCCTCTTACCACGTGCGCTCACACTGCCTCCCCAGGCAGCTTCCGGGACCGCAGGTGTCTGGGTCACTGGGCATATCCGTTAGGAAGAGTGCTTGGTTAGACCACAGACACCAACTCTGGCACTCCTCAGCATAAAGGCGACACTGGCAGGCTCTGGGGCAGCTCACAGGAAGGAGAGGAAGGCCAAAGATGGGGTCTCTGGACTAGTGAGCACCAAACCACCTTGGCGGTGACGCTCATTCTGCCGCCTCATACTGTACTTGGCTGCTGGTGGATGAGTGAAGGAGGACAAGTGAGAGAAGATGCAAATAAAAACTAAAGACTGAAAAGCTAGAAGTAAATCTACATATATCCAAGGTTTGAAATCATGGCAAATATTGAATGCAAAATGGATCATTTTGGGGGATAATTTTTAAGTTTCTTTTTTTTTCTTTTTTTTTTTTTTTGGAGAGGTTTTTGCTATAGGGTGCGTGCGCTCACCAGACAGACAGAGGCAGAGAGACAGAAAGCAAGAAATCACCCCCGGGGGGGAATGGCCACGCCGCAATCCCCTCTCCTCCATTCTCCTCTCGGGATCTTGGGCACGCATGCACACGCGCCCGGTGTGAATTTAAGCCACTGGGTCCGGAACTCGAACTGCGGTCGATTACGTGGGAGTTCAGTGACATAGCCATTACGCTAACTGCTAACTGGGAGCCCAAGTTTCTTTTTGTCATAAAGCACATGCACTTGCTGGAGAGAGACAGTGAGAGGGAAGAGAAATCACCCCATAGGGCAGATGGCTGCACCACAATCCCTTCTCCTCTGTTCTCCTCTTGGGATTTTGAGCCTGCACACACACTTGCCTGGTGTAATTTTCAAGTCGCTGGGACTTGAACCGTAATCAGCCAGGTGGGAGTACAGTGCCTTAACCACTATGTTACGACTGGCCTCTTGGGGGATAATGTTTTTTAGAAAATAGTTCTAAAGGAAATAGAAAAGTGACTAATACGCATATGTATAACAAGAATACCTACAAATAAGAGGACGCACATCAGATATGTGGAGTGGGGGAAAGTTAGGAAAAGGAAAGGAGATGAAGAACACGAAAGGAAACAGATTTTTTAAATGAAGGAAAGAAAGAAAGAAACACAAATAAACGTAAGGGGGACGTTGCAGAACCATTAACTGTGGAGTTTGATCATTCCCCCCTTTTGCTAATGGATGGTATTTTTAAAATTCAACTTTCTTAAAGTAAGTCCTCACCTCACAAACCTGGATTAAAATTTTATTTTCAACTGTGAATATTTTCTTAGGTCAGTAAGGATGAGTTGAGGGAAGAAACACTAGCAAATTTTTGTTCCTCTCCCACTACCCAGAAAACATTCCTTTTTACGTGTCAGAGAGCGCATGCACTTGCCAGAGAGAAATAGGGACAGAGCGAGAGGGAGGAAGCACCCCCAAATGGGACATGGTCACGCCACAGTCCCTTCTCCTCCATTTTTCTGTCCTGTTGGGATTTGGGGCCTGCACATACATGTGCCCAACCTATTTTTCAAGCTGTTAAGACTGAAATTTGAGCCACATGGTCAACCAGATGGCATCTGGGTCCCTTAACTATTCGGCCACCAGCTGGAAAGCATTTGTTTTTTAAAAGACGGCAGACTCTTCATCTTTTTAAGTAACTTGACAGAGCGTGTAATGGCATGAGATGGTGCATCTTTGTTCTCCTTTGAAGATGAGAGAGGCTGTGTTCGAAAGTGCAGGCTCGAACTGTGGCATCTGAGTAGATTTCTTTCTCTTCTTTTTTGGCCATATAAGATTGGTAGGTTTAGAAGGCGGAGTTGAGTACCTGTAAATTCATCGGAAAGTAACATAGGATGCTCATTTTGCAAACTTCTTTTGCTTTGAAATTTAGTGTATGATGCCATGGGGAAGCTTGGGAGCAATATTCTTAATGGAAACGTGGACAGGCTGGGATCTTACAGCGAGTGTCTCTCCACCCGCGCGCCCAGTGGACGCTTCCAAGGGCAATACTGCAAGCTTCATGTACTGCAGGTGAGCACCGGGAGTCTAAGCGCTTGCTCTTGAAGGATAAGGAAATGTCATGATACGAAGCACAATAGTACCCACTGATTACTTTTCTTTGCCTTTTTTGTTTCTTTAATTGCCAGAGGGCATGTGCAGTCAACAGAGCGAGCTGGAAAGAAAGTGCCTCCAATGTGGCAGAGACATGCCACAATCCCCTTCCTCCATTTCTTCATCTCACTGGGATTTGGGGCACGCACACGCACACACACACACACACACACACACACACACAGAGCATGTTTTTCAAACTTTTGGGGCTGGGACTTGAGCTACAGTGGGCCATGTGGGATCTAGTTCCTAATAAACAGTGTGGAGCTATGTGCTACTGTTCCATGTTTTTCTCCATCAAAAAGCTAAAAAAACCCATTGTATTATGATGTTTTGCAAAAAGTTAAAACTAGGGCCAACAGGTGGTATAAAGGTTAAGGTGCTGGATCCGCATGACCACCTGCACAATTCAACTCCAGGACTCGGGGGCTTGAAAATCACACTGGGCACATGTGTGTGCATGCCCCAAATCCTGAGGAGACTGGAGAAGGGATTGTGGAGTGACCATTCCCCCCTGGAGAGTGATTTCTCACTTTCCCTCTCTCTCTCTTTCTGGCAAGCACATGTACTCTTATAACAAAGCTAATAAAAATAAAAAAGACAAATTAAAATATTAGATAGTTGGCAAAAACTTGCTCAGTATCTTCCAAGTGTGGAACATTATTTTAGGCATTTGTCTTTAACAGAATACCTAGGTCTTGAGATATTCCTTCCATCACATTGTGTAGAGCGAGACCTTCGGATGACTTTCATAGGGAATTCAAGGTAAAACCTAGCCAGCAACTTCTCTAGCAAGATCATATACATGCTCTTCGAGTTAGTTGGTAACTTTTTCTGCCCCTTCTCAGGCTAACCTGCTGCTGGGGCCCAGTGAGGATTTCCCTATACTTGGGATTTTTGAGTGCTTTCGCCCTTGCCCAGACCCTGACTGCATCCTTGCTGTCATGGAAAACACATCATTGCTTCAGACAGTGCAGGTCAAGCCAAAAACTTGGGATGCCGTTCCTGAGCTCTAACTCCTGACTCACCATCAGTTTTTGGAATACAGAGGAAGGGTGGACTTCCCATTAGCCTTAACCCCTTTCCCAGAAACAGAGCCCTCAACACAAATTCAAGGTCATCCCAGCAGATGGGCTGTGACTTTTCTGAATGTGTTCCTCAATCAGCTGGCCAGGGTTGCAGGGCTCATCCTCTTCCCAGCACACAAATCCTTTTATGCTCAGACACAAACTAGGAAGAGCACAGCCTCTTACGAAATACAGAGAGAGTTTGTGCATATCACACAGTAAAAGCAAGTTTCATCACTAGTTGGCTAATAACAATTGTACAAAGTAGCGACGAGAAGCCCAAGCTCTCTGAAATGAATGCTGTAATGTGATTTTACAGTGGCTGACCGTGGAGACAGGGACATGACCACCTCGCCTCATTGTCCTGCTGATGGCGGGAGTGATGATTGCTTGAGGGTTTAGTCAGTATATTCAAATATCACTTTCAAAGCAGATTCATGGTTTTAATATCACAGTGAAAGGTCAGACCTACACAATCATGTCAGTTACGTGTTTAGAAAAAGTATCCCATACATTTTTACTTATAATTTGATCTTTTCTCTACTGGGACAGGCATCATAATTATTGATTTATTAATAAAATATTTATTTGATACATTGTGTCCTGCTACTAAGACATATCAACTTGGCAATGGTATTGAAAATTGTAGGAGAGTCGATTCTTTTTTAAAAACTTTTTTCTGTATTCATGATAGAGCACATGTATAGATGCAGAAAAGTGAGCAAGAGAGAGAGAGAGAGATGAGCACCCTCCCCGGTCTGGTCACACTGCCATCCCCTTTCTCCTGTCCTCTAGCCTGTTGGATCTCGCTCACGCCTATAGAGGCCTGGTGTTTTCCAGGCTGACCAGGCTGGGGGCTAGAACCATATTTGCCATGTGGGATCTGGCTTTCCTTGAGCAGCTCTTAACTGCTGTGCCATAAAGTCAGTGAAGTAGAATCCATTCTTAATGAATTCTACTGCGGAAGAAAGATACTCTGCGTCAGATGAACTGAAATTGGTGGCTGCTTTGGAAATAATCAATTAAGCTTGGGGTCCATTTTATTTAAAAGTGGATACATCTGATGCTCTAAAATAAACTTGAACCACTCTGTAATGGAAAAGCCATCTCTCTCTAAGAATTATTTACTTAGCTTTATTTATTTACTTATTTTTATATATATATATAATCCCTTTTCCTCCATTCTCCTCTCGGGATCTTGGGCACACACGCACAAGTGCCAGGCGTGAATCTTAAGCCACCGGGTCCGGGACGCGAACTGCGGTCGACTACGTGGGAGTCCAGCGACATAGCCATTACGCTAACTGCTGGTTCCCTACTTATTCATATTTTTGACCAGAGAGAGGGAAAGTGAGAAAGCAAGCCACCAGGTCATGAACTCAAACCGCATTTGACCATGTGAGAGTCTAGCACCTTATCCACCACACCACCTGCCTGCCCCTGAATAGTCATCTCTGTAAGAAGTTAGAAGACATCTTTTATCAATGCCCTTTTCTCCCAGTCTGTTTAATTTATGGGCAGTGCAGCAGCAGCTTTTCTTGGAAATGATCTACAAACAGTAAAATGAAAGAACATTGTGGCATTGCATTTCCCAGGATGGGGCCGACTACAGTGTTGGCGTGTGTGTTCCTGATTCTTGTGCTGAAGAGGATGTGACCATGATGTCCCAACTGGGTAGGTACAAAAGAATACCCGAGGAATCTATCTCAGTATAAATCTCATATAAAGTTTGAAAATAATCCAGTTCCTCAGAGCCAACAAAGGCCATTCCTTCAGGATTGAACCCACCTTTCATCCTGATAAATTCAATAAACCAAGAATAATGAAGTTCTGGGGGGGATTGGGAGTGGAGGTGGCAGAATAATAGAATAGATAGAAAGGGAGAGAAAGACAATAAAAAGGAGGTAGGAATGAGTCTTTTTTCATTTTGAGAGGTTTTTGCCATAGGGCATGCATGGTCTCCAGAAAGAGAGAGAGAAAGAGAGACAGAAAGTGAGAAATTGCCCCCAGGGGGAATGGCCACCCCGCAAGCCCTTCTCCATTCTCCTCTTGGGATCTTGGGCACGCATGCACATGCACCCAGCGTGAGTTTAAGCCACTGGGCTGGGATTTGAACCGTGGTCGACTACATGGGAGTCCAGTGATGTAGCCATTACGCTATATAAAGACCCAGAACTGAGTCTCTACATAGTAAAATGTAAAATTACATCATCTTTGCTCACCCACAGCTGCCTGGTTAGGCTTTAAGAAAGGAGGGAGTTGGTGTTGGTTTCCATATTGTGAATGTTTTCTGTTCCTTCCATGTGTGGCAATCTGTCATCTGCCAAATCCAGAAGGCCATTCTGAACTGAGATTGTGTGAGGTCAACGTGTTGTAATGCATTAGTGTTAAGAGCCCAGCATTTGGTTTTGGTTGTTGCCTCCCAGCTGTGTGATCCTGGGCAAATCACTTAATCTCCCAAGCTCCAGTCTCTTCCTCTGTGCAGTGAAGGGTGGGTTCTGAAGTTCTGTATGGGTCTAACCCTTTATGGGGGATAATAATTTCTGGCTTTAGCTATGCAAAAGGGATAAATTTTAGTCCACGTGGAAACTAGTTTGATTTCCTCTAAGTCAAATTTTCAAAGCAAGAGCTTTAAAGACTAAAATTTTGCCACTAACATCTTTGTATTCATTCTAGTCATATGACTGAGAACATGACACATTACTAAGAGTTCTTTAAAGTGTTGCTATTGCAGCTAGTTTTCAATAATCTTCCATTATCTTCTGAGTTTATGACAACCACTATAACTTTGGGTACACTAGCAAGCCAAGTAGTTCATGTACTGTTAAAAAAACTCAACAAATTATTATAAATCAGATTAAAATTTCAATTGTTACAGATCACCATAAATAGCCTAAACTGCAGAGTTATTATTAAATTAATGTTTCAAATGAATAAGTGACTCCTTAACTCTGAAAGTCTTGGGGCCCGTAGGTGGTCTAGTAGTTGAGGATCTGAATTCCCACATGGTTTTGTTTTTTTTTGAGAGATTTTCACTGTAGGGCGCATGCGCTCGTCAGACAGACAGAGAGAGACATAGAGACAGAAAGCGAGAAATCACCCCCTGGGCGGATGGTCACGCCGCAATCCCTTCTCCTCCATTCTCCTCTCGGGATCTTGGGCACGCACGCACACGCGCCCGGCGTGAGTTTTAAGCCACCGGGTCTGGGACACGAACCGCGGTCGACTACGTGGGAGTCCAGCGACATAGCCATTACGCTAACTGCTGGTTCCAAAATAACCTTTTTTTTGGAGAGGTTTTTGCTTTAGGGCACGTGCGCTCGCCAGACAGACAGAGAGAGACAGAGAGACAGAAAGCAAGAAATTTCCCCCCCAGGGGGGATGGCCACGCCACAATCCCTTCTCCTCCATTCTCCTCTCAGGATCTTGGGCATGCACGCACATGCGCCCGGCATGAGTTTTAAGCCACCAGGTCCGGGATGCGAACCGAGGTTGACTACTTGGGAATCCAGCGACATAGCCATTACGCTAACTGCTGGTCCCTGAATTCCCACATGGTTTGAGTCTGGAACCTGGCAGCTTGCTTTCTCACTCTGTTTCTCTCTGGTGAGAGCAAATTAAAAAATAATAATAACAAATAAAATTAATAAATAATTATTTTAAAAAGAGCTCATGGTTTTTATTATTTAACTTTATGTATTAGCCTAATTTTTCTGGCTAATGCTAGGCTTACTAGCCAAAATAGCATTAGAATAAAATGGCATGTTTGAAATAATTACTATTAATAAAAAGAAATTTGAAAAAGTAGCATTTGGAGATAAATAAGGTAAAGAGAGTTTTTTCAAGGAACCTGAAAAATGAAATGGCCTGGTTAGTGTGCGCTGAGCCAACGTGGGGGGACACGTTGGTGGCATTTCGCCTGCATGGGGGGATGTAGGGGCGGACTTTAGCCTGTGCTGCCTCGGCCTTTCTCCAGCTTCGGCGCAGAGGCAGTGGAGAGAAATCAGTGCACCTTTGTGCAGGAGAAAAGGTCTTCGTCTGGAAAGGATTTGTCGGCTATTTCTTAAAGCCTTTTGGTGGAGTTGCCAGTATTTTCTGTGCAGATGTGGGGACGACCCAGCTCAGCAATACCAGGCAGAAGCCCTTTGCATAGACTTAGTTCATCCAAGGAGGGAGAATGGGAAGACTGTAAAGGTAGGCCAAGACAAAAATGGCCCCAGAATTACAGAGGGGGGAAGATTCTGGGCAGGTCAGAGCTCGTGGCTTTTGGCCAAAGGCTAGGGTAAAACACTGCACTGTCATGGTCATGGAATATTAGGAAATTTCCCCCCAATAAGCTTTATGTGAGTTCCTGAGAATAAAACTGTAGAATAGGAAAGTGTTGAGAGTATAGACAAAACTTAGATATGATGAGTATGAAACCTGGTTTTAGAGTATTTCCCAAAATATTCAAATCCATGCATCTCAGTGGCCCTTATTACGTCCATCTCCTAGGGCTCCCAGAACAGATCACCACCAACTTGGTAACTTATTACAAGAGAATTGTATATTCTCACAGCCCCCCACTTTTATTTTTTTTTGAGGGGTTTTTGCTATAGGGCACATGCAATCTCCAGAAAGAGACAGAAAGCAAGAAATCACCCCCCAGAGAAGATGGCCATGCTGCAATCCCTTCTCCTCCATTCTCCTCTCAGGATCTTGGGCATACGTGCACACGTGCCTGGTGTGAGTTTAAGCCGCCAGGCCTGGGACTCAAACTGTGGTCGATTACATGGGAGTCTAGCAACATAGCCATTACGCCAATCCCTATTCTCACAGTTCTCAAGGCTAGAAATCAGAAGCCAAAGTGCTGATGAAGTTGGATACTTTTGGAAGTTGTGAGGCAGTGTCTATCTGTTTCATCTTCTCCCCTAGCTCCTGGTGGTGGCCAGTGGTTCCTGGCACTCCTTGGCCTGTAACATCATTTCAATCTCCACCTCCGTTACGTGTCCCTTGTGCGTCTCTTTATGTCCAAATTTCTCTTTAATAAAGACACTGGTTGAATTTAGGACCCACCCTAATCTCATATGACCTCGTCTTAAGTTCTTTACATCTGCAAAGACCCTGTTTTCAGATAAGGTCACATGCCCAGGTACGGAAATTAGAACCTGTACCTTTTTGGAGGAGCACAATTCCATCCAGAACGCTACGTCCTAGTAACTGGGGAAAAAAGCATGCATATCTGAGCTGTGGAGAATGGGGGGAGGGAGCTACAGTTAAGAGCCCGAGAGAGAGGTTTACCCAGGGGGCTTGAGCTGGCCTGGAGTTAGGAAGAGGCGGGATAAGAAGTTGGTAGAAAATAGCTCAAACAAGGGTTGCCAAGAAAAGTGTTGTATTCTCCTGTGTAGACCTGGAGTCTGGCACAGTGTAGACACGTAAGGTTGGTTGAACGTGCTAGGCCGCTAGCTGGTTTCATTTACCATGGCGGAATTATAGGGCTGAGTGCAGTGCTTGTCCTTAGTGCTGCAGGGACCATCTGTCTCTAGACTCTGAGAACATGGACTCCAATCACTGAGGGGGGGGGGTGTCAGGTGGGCTCAGGAAGTCTACATGGTCAAGGGATGCCACATACTGAGTCGGGGCCTGCTTCTCAGCCCAAAGGCAGCCTCCCTTGAGTACAGTGATGGGTGAGTCTCTTAAAGTTCCTTTGAAATCACGTTTGGGGGGCCATCAGGTGGCATGTTGGTTAAGGGCACTGGATTTCCATACGGTCGACTGCGGTTCAAGTCATAGATCTGCTTTCTTGCTTTTCTTTTCTCTTTCTCTCTGTTTCTCTTTGGTCAAATTAAAAAAATAATAATAACAAATGAAATTAAATACAATAATTCTTTAAAAAAAAAAACAACAAAGAAATCACGTTTGGAAGCCAAGGGCTCTGTATTCCTGCTCATTCTGCTCCCCACCTGTCTCTTAGGCTCTAAGTATTCATGTGACCAGCAAAAGACCAAGTGAACACTGTACAGGAAGGGACAGTAGTGTCCAATGTGAACGCATCACGGTATGGGCTCCTCCCCTGGCCGCGTCCTCTCCATGGGCTGAGATGTCTATAGGACCAAGAGGACATACCCATCTGGAGATTGTTGCCTTCTCTTTCTACTCTGGGACACACTTTGAGGGCCTAGGACCTTAGAATTGCCTGTCCAGAGGGCCCAAGTCCCTTCTCAGGAGTGACTGCAGCAGGAGTGGGGCTAGGGGTGGAGCTTAGGTTGTCCCAATTCTGTCTGTAAGGCACCTGTTGGCAGAGGATCAGGGTGCAGGAAGACAAGGGAGGTGACCCGAAGCTGTGGACAGAGTGCTGTGAAGGCTTCCCCGTACCTCCTGCCCCAAAGTCCTGCAGACGTAAGAGGTGAGACTGAGTCTGGAGGCTGAAGAGGATGATTCCTGCAGGGTAGTCAAGGCTGACACTTTGTATCACACATACACATAACACAGACACACACACACACACACACACACACACACACACACACACACATATGCTTGGTTCTTTTTTCCCTTTTTTTTAGAGGTTTTGCCTTAGGGTGCACGCACTTGCCAGAGAGAGAGACAGAGAGAGGGAAAGTAAGAAATCACCCCCCACCTGGATGATAGTCATGTTGCAATCCTTTCTTTTCCTGGGATTTTGGGCATGTATGCACACATGCCTGGAGTGAGTTTCAAGCTACCAGGTTCGGGACTTGAACTGCAGTCGGCCATGTGGGAGTACAACGACGTAACGGCTACACCATCTGCTGGCTCTAACATGCTCAGTTCTTATAAAAGTTCTTACTGCCATCATTGTTCTGGCTCCATGGTTGGTCCTGGAGCAGTTCAGAGGCTCAAAGTCCCTGCCAAACTACACGATAGCTATGGCTTTGCAGCTGGGAAGAACCACATGCTCCATGTGATAAGTAACCAGCTTGGGACATCTCTGGGGCTAAGCGAGCAGCACATTCCCCCATGAACAGAGTCGGTGACCTCCAGGTCTGCCCCCTGCAGCAGCGAGGCCTGGACTGCATGTTCTCAGGTTCCCCAGGTGGTCTGAGTGGTCCGGGTGGCATTCCTTACCATCGGCCCCCTTGCTTGGAGGGCAGCGCCCCTGTGATGGAGATGCAGAAAGATCACCAGTGAGGACAGTGGGGGCTGGGATACATGTCCTGGGTGATGTTATGCTTGCGCTCTCAGGGAAGGGAGGATTCAGCTGGAACAACAACAACAACAAAAAAACCCAAAAAACAAAAGCAAAACACTTTTAAAAACAATGGAAGTGAGGGGAATTAAATCTGGGATCCAGACATGTATTTCATCATTTTCTTCCTAGTTCTGTGGTCTCGTTCTTTGCTGCACATAGAGCCCTAAGTTAAATTTTTAAAAATTATTTAACTTATTTTATTATTATTAGTATTAGTAGTAGTATTCAATTTGAATATAGAGAGACAGAGAGAGGGAGAGCGAAAAAGCCAGGCACCAGGTCCGGGACTTGAACCACGGTTAGCCATGCGAGAGTCCAGTGCCTTAACCACCATGCTACCTACCAGCCCCGCCCTAAGTTAAATTTAAAAACTAGTTTTCTACAGTGCAGATGAACTCCAGCATAGCTTTTCATCTTTGTTTTGAATTTCCCTGTGCTCTCTGTTGCTTCCTGTACTGTTAAGAGAGACAGAGACAGTGAAAGGGAAAGTGAAAAATCACTCCCCAGGGGGGATGGCCATGCCACAGTATTTCTCTTCGTTCTCCTCCTGGGATCTTGGGCATGCATGCACATGCACTCAGCATGAGTTTTAAGCCATCAGGTCCAGGACTCGAACCGTAGTCGGCCATGTAAGAGTCCAGAGATGTAACCACTATGCCAACCACTGCTATCTGTTGGCCCCATACTTTTCCATTATTGATAGAAGTTTCCCTATTTCTTCAGCTAGAAAGAAAGCACTAGGCAGGCATTCTCATAGGGTCTTTAAGCCACAACCCACCCTCGGTGCCAGCCAGCCCATATCACCGGCAACGTGCATTCCCAGTAGTGAACCTAGGTGAGCCGCTTGCATTACAAATGTGCCACCGCTTGGCTCATAATCTTCCACTTTATATTGTATTTTTATCTCTTGTGTGGACCTGATCACAAGGAAATCTAGGCGGGCAATGGTGCATTTGTAGGCTTGTTATTCTCAATGTTATGTGCTAGAAAAATTGCCAACGTCTGGGCAGGCTAAGGATCAGGAGTCCTGTGTCCCTTTCCAGTCGGGTGAAGAGGTCCTACTTCTGGGAGTCTCTGTGTCTTCGTGTCCTAGTTGCCCCATCTGTAAATCAGATGTATCCAAGCCAGCTGCTTTTAAACCTTTTTCAGAGGTTTGAAATGATAGATGTGGAAACACTTGGAACAGTATAAAAGCATTATTGCAAACTAAAGTATTACCATGATCTGTTTTTTTTTTCTTCTCTTGGTAGATATTTTAAGATTCAGAAACACTTCATTTTGGGCCCCTTCCCTTTCTCTCTTTACACCGAATTCTTCCTCCTCATCTGGTGGGAGTGTGGCCAGATGTGCTGCTGGAATGTTCCCCCTGGACATGTTTGCTGCTGTGTGTCTGTGAGTATATGGCATCTGGCTGGGATGTTCTCTTTTGGTTCCATTTTGTCAGTTTCTGCTCAACACCTAGCTTTAACCACTTCATTTCACTCACTGACTGATGTCTGGTCAATACTGCCTATTTGCAGGGTACTATGGTCTGAATATCTGTGATCCCCCCAATATATATGTTGAAACCTATTGTTGTGATGGTATTAGGAGGTGGGACCACTGGGAGGTGATAGGTCATGAGGGTAGAGGCCTCATAATGGGACTAGTGCCCGTTGTATAAAAGGGATCCTAAGAGCTCTCTGGCCTTTTCCACCATGTGAGTTCACAGCCAGAAGGTGCCATCTGTGAACTAGAAAGTAGTTTGCACCAGTCAACAAATCTGCCGGCGCTTTGATTTTGGGCTTTCCAGCCTCCAGAACTGCGAGACTAAGTTTCTGTTGTCATAAGGAAATGCAAAGATATTAAAGGGGAAAGCTGGCTGCACCCAAATGTGATTCAGTTTCAGGAACCTCTGAGAAATAGATCCTGTCCCCAAATATTCCCGTTCCTCACTGTGATGCCACCATGAAGATCAGTTTCTTTTACGGGAGGCAATGAGTCTCCCATGATCACTGCAGGCTCTCTCCCCTGCCTCTGGCTTGCATCTTGGATTGTTGATGGAAGTGGAAGTGCTGAGCCGTAACTCTTGAACCATGTACAGTTGTTCCTGAGAGATTCATTGATAGGACCTCCCGCGGGAAATGTCTGTGTCTGTTCTCACCACTATCAAAACTGCCTTTTAAATACTGGAACCAACTTGATGAGTGAAAAAGTCAGTTTAATTTACATCTTTGTAAAACTGGTGGGCTCGCTCCGCGGTGCAACAGTAATGCATTGCTCAGGAGAAGCTGGATCCCACGTGGCAGCCAGGGTTCAGATCCCTGGCCCTGTCAGTCTGGGTCATGCCAGGCACACTTGTGGGTGCCTATGATCCAGTGGCCCAGAAGACAGGGATCGTGATATGACCGGACCCTGAAGAGGGGCTTACCTCTCTCTTTCGGCATCTGGCTGGGATGTTCTCTTTTGGTTCCATTTTGTCAGTTTCTGCTCAACACCTAGCTTTAACCACTTCATTTCACTCACTGACTGATGTCTGGTCAATACTGCCTATTTGCAGGGTACTATGGTCTGAATATCTGTGATCCCCCCAATATATATGTTGAAACCTATTGTTGTGATGGTATTAGGAGGTGGGACCACTGGGAGGTGATAGGTCATGAGGGTAGAGGCCTCATAATGGGACTAGTGCCCGTTGTATAAAAGGGATCCTAAGAGCTCTCTGGCCTTTTCCACCATGTGAGTTCACAGCCAGAAGGTGCCATCTGTGAACTAGAAAGTAGTTTGCACCAGTCAACAAATCTGCCGGCGCTTTGATTTTGGGCTTTCCAGCCTCCAGAACTGCGAGACTAAGTTTCTGTTGTCATAAGGAAATGCAAAGATATTAAAGGGGAAAGCTGGCTGCACCCAAATGTGATTCAGTTTCAGGAACCTCTGAGAAATAGATCCTGTCCCCAAATATTCCCGTTCCTCACTGTGATGCCACCATGAAGATCAGTTTCTTTTACGGGAGGCAATGAGTCTCCCATGATCACTGCAGGCTCTCTCCCCTGCCTCTGGCTTGCATCTTGGATTGTTGATGGAAGTGGAAGTGCTGAGCCGTAACTCTTGAACCATGTACAGTTGTTCCTGAGAGATTCATTGATAGGACCTCCCGCGGGAAATGTCTGTGTCTGTTCTCACCACTATCAAAACTGCCTTTTAAATACTGGAACCAACTTGATGAGTGAAAAAGTCAGTTTAATTTACATCTTTGTAAAACTGGTGGGCTCGCTCCGCGGTGCAACAGTAATGCATTGCTCAGGAGAAGCTGGATCCCACGTGGCAGCCAGGGTTCAGATCCCTGGCCCTGTCAGTCTGGGTCATGCCAGGCACACTTGTGGGTGCCTATGATCCAGTGGCCCAGAAGACAGGGATCGTGATATGACCGGACCCTGAAGAGGGGCTTACCTCTCTCATTTTTACATGCCCATGCATGGACTCCATCATGAATTAAAACCAAAAACTGGTACGAAATTTTTTTGTTTTGTTTTTCTTTTTTGGTCCTAAGTTTATCTGCCACTTGTGCTTTTTTCTGGTAAATTACCTACTTGTATTCTTCAGCCCCGTCCCCATGTATGAGCTATTTAGGTTTTTATTGATTTTTTTGTTTGTTTTTTTTAAGAGTCTCCATATCATTATGCCTCAGCCTCCCAGCTGGGACCACAGGCTGTGCCACCATGACAGGCATAAGCAGACCCTCTATCTTGATCGGGCCAGCCTTACACTTGTGGTATCCTGCCTTCACCTCCCAAGTAGCCGGGATTGATATTTAAAGTTCATTAACTTAGAAAATGTAGAAAAAAATATTAATCTCTAATCATATCACTGACAAATGCCTCCCTTTGGGTTGCTTTTTCTTTCTTTCTTTTTTTACAATTAAAATACACAGTTAAGTGAAATTCATTACTCTTCTCCTGTGTAACATTTTTCATTATTTTTATGCATAGAATATCATTCCTCACCCTAAAAATTGTTAAATATTTGCCTATGGAAACACGCAGTAGCTTTGCCTTTCATAGGTTGTTTTTTCACCTCATTCGGTGTCACGTGAGGTTGGCCGCTGTGTGTCTTCTGCCTGCAGGTGCATCGTCTTGCTGGGCCTCGCCCTTCCTCTGGCTGGAACTGTCTATGTGGCAGCCAGAGGGTGGGGGTTTGATGGCAGGATGTCACCAGTGCCGGGGACGCCTTCGGCCAGGTACGGGAGTCTGCCCCTCAGGGAGATGGAGAACAACGAAGACGGGAGCAGAACGCAGTGGATGCACCACCTGGCTCATCTCTTACTGGCAGGCATCCGGAGCGGAGGAAAAAGTAGGCATGTTCATGAAACCAAGGCCACCCCAAGAGCTGCCGTGACTGAGTATGCAGTGGGAGAGCCCCTTTAGGGCTGGATTCTAGTGGTGCCGGCAGCCTTGGAATGCCAGCATGGAGGCTGGACCTCTGCTGGCCACAGTTCAGCCTCTGTTTATCCAGGATGCGCTAAGGCAAGGCGAGCTCGCGGGAAGTGTTGCTTTATTTCTTGTGTCCAATTACCCAGTGTGCTTTTGTGCTAGTCAGAGACTAGGTCAGAACCGAGCCTGGGGTTTCACTGTAGTACGCCTCCCAGGAACAATTCCATGATCGCGTGTGTCCTCAGTGTCAGAGTCCCACACAGGACTCAGAGACGCTTCCTGCCATCCCCAAGATACGTGACTTACTTAGACACTGAAGCCAGGGGTGCGAGTGTGCAACGCAAGGCTGTGAGCCAGGAACACCCAGCACGGTGTAGGGAGAGGCTGGATTCCCCACCGCGCTGCGCTTCAGTGACAAATCAAGTGTTCCTTCATTTCCACCTGGCGACATGGCAAGACAATAGAAATAGAAACACATCAGTATCTCAGGCGAGAATAGCCTGGTTATGCACACACCTTTAGAACATGTGCAGTAGCTTTTGGTGGGTCCCCTTTCTTCTACTAGGGGGAGAAAAATCAAACACTTTAGTGAGCAGACCAGAAGAGGAGAACATGTGATAGACCGGCTTCCAGACTGTGTCTCATGTGGAAGGCGTGAAAGTGATTTTCTCAGAGTCAATTCAGATCTTAAGGTAAAGCCAAAAATAGCAGCAACACCAACCAGAAACCCCAGCAGCAACCAAATGTGCTTGCATAAGAGACATTCTCCCAGAAGGAACTGAGGAGGTAATAAGGTTTGGGGACCACCTCCTCCCCATGGATGGAAGCAGTCTGCAAGCCTGGCGGCTCCCTCTGAGCCCTTCTGGATGGGAAGTGTTCATTGCTAGGCTTCGAGCCAGCGCTGATCCCCACTGTCCTGTAATGTACACCCAGAGGCCCTGGTTTTTCTTCTAGGGTCCCCCAAGGTAATTACACTCTCTTGATTATATTATAGCCTCAACAGATATCAGGGACAGCTCTGCTAGCAATGCTCAGGTCTCAGAATCTCTCAAATGCCTCTCACATGATGTGGTTCGAGACCTTTCTCCTCCTGTCTCTGGCTGCCCTGTGAACATTTCATAGCATGGCAGAGAGAACATGTGCTTACTGATCCCCAGTCAGACCTGCTTTGGCTGCCCACCCTAACCTTGGTCAGAGGTTCGACTTCTATGAAACTCGGTTTGCATCTGTCAAACGGGCCTATAATGAGGCTCACTGAAGGAATTCAATGAGGTCACTGTACTTACCTCCTTCTAAATTCATCGCTCTATTTTTTATTCTCTTTAGTTAAGTCAGGAGAGGAAAGAAAGGGCAGGGGCTTACCCGCCAACGCCTCTTGCTTGGGCTGTCCTGACCTGTCTGACTAGGGCCCGAGGGGCAGATGGATGCCGCGGACCTGCCTTGTGTCTCGGTCAGAACGAAAGGGTGTCTTGGTCATCAAATTCCTTATGGCTTTCATCTGTGTAGGCTGGCCCACGAACCCTGCGTTTCAGGCTAGATCGCGGGACTTAGGGCACACACACCTGTTACGGTGTCAGGGATCAGTCCCTGAAACTTTAGGTTCCTTGCCCCTGATGGGACTCCCTGTGGTCAATGGAGTGCTGCGGTTATGTGGGCTTTTTCAGCAGGGTCATTTGGGGCCCCAAATGGGTCCCACATCCCATTGTCATAGCAGACTGTTTTTTTTTTTTTTTTGTATTTACTCTCAGCAGAGATAAAATATCACATTCCCAAATCATTGGAAATAAAAATTGAGGTGGAGGGACCCCAAGATTCAGCAGTTTTTGCCTTCCACCTTTACATTCACCAGTGAGTCAAATCGACATAAGACCACCATGTTTTTTGGAAGTTTAGAGTCAAATAGCGCACTTTAGATTTCTAATTCTTTATCCTCCAAATGTTGCATTTACTTACAGTGGTTTCCTGTTAGTGAGCCTGTCCTTTGCTATTTAGTTTTGTTTTTATTTTTGTTTTTTTGAGAGGTTTTTGCTATAGGGCACGTGAGTTCACCAGAAAGACAGAGACAGAGAGACAGAAAGCGAGAAATCATCCCCCAGGGGGGGATGGCTACACTGCAATCCCTTTTCCTCCATTCTCCTCTCAGGATCTTGGGCACGCACGCACATGCACCCAGTGTGAGTTTAAGCCACCGGGTCCAGGACTCGAACTGCAGTCGACTATGTGGGAGTCCAGTGACGTAGCCATTACGCCATCTACTGGTCCCTGTCCTTTGCTATTTAGATGAGAAAAATACGAGCAAAAGTCTGAGGAAGTTTCCATGAAGTTAATAGCTATGGATATCAGCCCCTGGAAGTCAAGGTTCTCTCCCTCATGATCTGCTGCTTAAAGTGAGCTCACAGTAACAATAACCAAGAAAACAAAAGAAAGTGTGAAGTGGTTTAGAGCACTGTCATATCCAGAGGCTCTCAAACTTCATGTGTGCAGAACCACCTAGAGGGCTGGGCTCTAACCCAAAGGTTTTGATTTAATAGGTCTTGGGGGGCCTGGAAATGTGTATGTCTAACAAGTTCTCAGGTGAGGCTGGTGATCTGGGGACCTTTGCTTTGAGGACCAGTGACCATGTGCATCGCACCACCCAATCTTCCTCAAGTCTCTAGGGCTTGTACTACAAAGGGTCTTCAAAAGTTCATGGAAATGCATATTATGAAAAAATTATGCATGGATTTCAAATTTTTGCACCAAAATAAACATGTACTTGAATCTTGTTTTTTCCATAAACTTTTTGAAGTCCCCTCATATTTTTCACTTACAAATGACCAAAATGGGACTTGAAAGAGGCTGTTTTCCCTATAGACCATGTATTTGCAGAAGATTTCATAAAACACCGATAGTTAACTTCATCCACGAGTAGAATTTAGATGAAAACAAAACAAAACAAAACATATTGAACACTGGCTTGCAAAAGCAGGCAGATGTTTGACATTGGTCTAGAGTTCTCACAACCATCCTGCCAAAAATTAGGCCCATTTTAGAAGTGAGGAAACGGGGGCTCAGGCAGGTAAAGAATTTGGCTGAACTTGCCAGAGTCCTGGTCCCGTACCCCTCCCTTGCAGTACACAGCTTCTCAGGAAACTGAGGAGCCAGGTGACAGCGGGTGTCGGAAACTGCTGATTATGCCACGTTCATTGCCAATTCCTGGCGAGTGAACGACCCTTCAATGAAAGCACGAGTGTTGCCTTCAGGTGGAGACACAATCGCAATGAATGGAAAACCTCATAGCTGGAACTCCAGAATGCTAGGTAGTGGGATTCTTTAATTGGAGAAATTAATTTGGATTCCCCAAGCTAGGTTATTATTTTTGAGAAACTTTTTCTATTAGGGCATGTGTGTTCATCAGAGAGGCAGAGACAAAAAATGAGAAATCATCCCCACAAAGAGAATGGCCATGATCCCTTCTCCTCCGTTCTCCTCTCAGGATTCTGGGCACCCATGCACACACACATGCCTGGTGTGAGTTTCAAGCCACTGGGTCCTGTACTTGAACCATGGTCAGCCACGTGAGAGTCCAGTGCTTAACCACTATACTACCTGCTGGCCTTTCCAAGCTAGGTTATAAGCCAGATGTCGTTTGTAAAGAAATTTTAATTCTTTTTTTTTTTTTTTTGGAGAGGTTTTTGCTATAGGGCACGTGTGTTCACCAGACAGACAGAGAGACAAAGAGATAGAAAGCGAGAAATCACCCCCCCAGGGGATGGCCACGTCACAATCCCTTCTCCTCCATTCTCCTCTCAGGATCCTGGGTATGCATGCACATGCGCCCGGCGTGAGTTTAAGCCACTGGGTCTGGGACTCGAACAGTGGTCGACTACGTGGGAGTCCAGCGACATAGCCATTATGCTAACTGCTGGTCCCAAGAAATTTTAATTCTTTAAAAAATTATTAGTATCCCAATGTTTAAAGCATGAACTCTGTCCAGGAGAAAAATATGAGCTCTTGGAGCTGGCTTGAGCTTTGAAGTTTCCTGCTTCATGATTCCAGTCACTTCACTGGCTCTCAGGATAGGTCAGATTCCATTTATGCATGGAATAAATTAAGCAAAAAGGATTAACCATTCTTAAAATCACAGGGCTTAAAATAGTGTTAGTAAGCTGTGATTTCTTTGAGTGCTTACCATGGGTTGGTCTCTATTTGGAGTAATTTATAAGCATTATCTCATTTGCTCTTGTTAGAGGTCTATGATTATAAAACCTATCTTGATTCTTATTTTGCAGATGTGGAAACTTAGATGCAGAGAAATTAAGTCCCTTGCCGAGGTCACAGAGCTAAGACATGGCGGTGTTTAACTGTAAGGCCTCCGCCCGTAGCTACTGTGCCAGCTCTCCCTCTGTTCCGTGCCTGTACCTTGACCTCTGCTAAGGATGTCACCTCCGATGAGTTCATCCTTGGGAGAGTGCCAGAGATGTCATCACAAGTGCACTGCTGGCTTTCCGGATCATGTGGTTTCTTGCTGAGGTCTATGTTCTCCTTCCCCTAATCCTTTGTAAAACAGGACTAGGGTCGAGGGTTGGCATCCCTGGGGGCCTGAATTTGAGCCTGCATAGTCTGCGCAAGGTATTGGGGGGCACTAACCTCAGTTTAAGTCTGTTAGGGAAGGTCAAAGTTCAAAGGAGAGGGAGACTGTGTATCAAAGTCTACAGAAAGATCAAGAGGAGATGATGAGGGCACCCGTGGCCTAGTGGTTAAGGCGACCAGATGCCACATGACTGTGTGGTTTGAGTTCTGGATCCAGTGACTTGCAAAACACACCAAACACATGTGTATGCGTGCCCCAAATCCTGAAAGGAGGGAGAGATTACAGAGAAGGGATTGCGGTGTGACCATCCCCAAGGGGAGGGGGATGCTTTCTCTCTTTCTTTCTCTTTGTTTCTCTCTCTCTCCCCCTGTTATCTGCTCTCTGGCAACTTTAAAGAGAGAGAGAGAGAGAGAGAGAGAGAGAGCACAAAATCCAAGTTTTATAGTCCAGAGTCAAAGCAAGAGAGCATTTGGGAGACTGTCAGCGGGTCTGGCTGCATGTCTTGGCCCTTGTTATGGGGTGGTGGGTGGTTAGGGCTGGCTGTCAGGATGGACGGTGATGTCTGTGCTCTTGCTCAGGGTTTCTCAGAGCCGTGGACTGTACTCTGCAGTGCTTTTCTTGGCAGAAGAATGTGCCAGCCATCTGGACTGCAAAGACACCAGCAAGTGCCTGCCCAGCCCTGAATGGCATCCGTGTCTTGAGTCTCCTCTGGATCATCTCGGGACACACCAGTCAGATGACTGCATGGCTGTCTTTGGGTACGGAGCTGACCAGCCTTTCCTCCAGGAGCAGTTGGGGAAGAGGGAATGCTTGGTGTCGTGGGTTGCATTTGGTCCCAGGACGGGAGGCTGGCAGCCTTTCTCACAAGCAGCTTCCCTTTGAGAGACATTGCCCATGAGCTTGCAGTGTTCGGTAGCTCTCAGGTATAAATCAGGCACGGGCTGCCAGGTAAATAGTGAGACCTGGGTGTTGTATTTGCATCACCCAAAGGTTGGGTTCCTTCGTGGCATGATTAATGAAGCCAGGAGCTATCGTTCTTTTCCTCCCTGACCAACAGGAACACATAAATAAACATCGTGCACTAATATTAAATCAGTGCTTCCCTACCTGTTCCCTGCGGCTGCACTCCCAAAGCACTCCTGCTGATCACAGTGGCACCTTCTGGGCATGGGGCTGAACCTGCGTGTCAGATTGAGGGGAAGGCCAATGCAGGCTGGGCTAGCGAAGCCTCACAGGTGGTCGGCCCCATCCATGAACAGGGGACGCTGCTGGGGACACCAGGGGCCTGTGGCCATGCTGAGAGCACAGAGGAGCTCAGAGCCTGAGTTTCGAGTAGGGACCTCAATCCCATCTTTTATTCCCAGTGTCACTTCCCACTGACTCATAAAACTGCACTTCAAAGTCGAAGGTATTTTGGAATCACGTGATTTTCTCCTATGAAACAAAAAGACACTGCCCTATTGTTTTCGCATTCATTACAGATAACGTGCTTGAATGGAAATCCCGCGTGCTTAGAAACCCACTGTACCTTTACTCTCGGAGCGGCCCGTTTTACCTCGGGGTTGATACGTTTTTCCTGATCAGGTAATGAGGCCGGACTGTGTTCTCTGTGCTGTCACGCTTATTGCTGTTGGTTATGAGAGGTGCATGCGGGTGACTTGGGGGTGACCTTTCTTTTCTTTTTTTTTAAATTATTTTTTATTTAATTGTATTCATTGTCATTATTTTATTTTATATTTTATTTTATTTTACTTTATTTTATTTTTTATTTTATTTTACTTTATTTTATTTTATTTTATTTTATTTTATTTTATTTTATTTTATTTTATTTTATTTTATTTTGCAGTTAACCAGAGAGAGACAGAGAGAGAGAAGCAAAGTGAGAAAGCAAACTGCCAGGTCCAGGACTTGAACTGCAGTCAGCCATGTGGGAATCCGGCTGCCTTAACCACCATGCCACCTGCCAGCCCCAAGGGTGACCTTTCTTAATGAGAAAACCTGCATGGGCTGCACTTATTCACAGGGGCCTCGGCGTGTGTTTATTTGCAGTCAATCCTGTTACCACAGTCGCTCTCCTCTGTACCTTCAGTCTCTTAAATAAGTGAGGCTGGCTTTGCACCGGGGGCCTTTTAGAGAGTCGTCGATCCAAATTGTTTATCTCAGTGGTGCTCAAATGGTCTGGTCTATGAACTGGTGCGGGTCCATGGTGAAGTTTCTGCTGCTCACCATGGTGAAACGGGAAAATTAAAATGATATGATGTCTTATACCTTTGTTTATTTCACTTAACTCATAATAGCTAAAATGTCTTAATTGTTTGATAAATGTCAGGCACGGTATTAAGTACTTGGAAGGAGTTTCTCAAATTGGCTTATAGTATCCCCTGGTAGTAGGGACTATTGTTAAAATCCCTCTTTCTTTTGTATTCTTTCTTTCTTTTTCTTTCTTTGTTTCTGTCTTTCTTTTCCTTTCTCCCTCCTCTCTCTTTTTCTTCCTTCCTCTCTCTCTTTCTCTCTCTTTTCCCACTCCTCTCTTTTATAGTCTCTATTATCTACACTTATCCTCTCTACTATTGTATCTTCAGATCTTTCCAGTTCTACCACGGAGTGGTCAGAGATGTTGGGTGTAGCTTCTATACTTTTACATTTGTAGTGGCTTGTTTTGTGCCCTATTATGTGAGGATCTTCAAAAACATCCCATGCAGAGGTAAGAAAAAAAGTATATTTTGTAGTTGCTGGGTGAAATATTCTATTTGGCTTATGGTATCAATGAGCTCCAGTGTCTCTTTTGTTTATTTGTTGTCTAGATGAGCGTCCTGTGGTGACAGTGGGGTGTTGAAATCCCCAGTGATGAGTGTGTTACAGTTGATATCTCTCTTTAGATCTAGCGGTCTTTCTTTGACATATTTGGGTGCCCAGGTGTTGGGTGTGTAAATATTTGTAATTGTTACATTTTTAGGTGGATTAATCCTTTTAGAAATGTATAGTGTCCTTCTTTGTCTCTTTTTATCTTTTTTTTCTTAAAGTGTATTTTATCTAAATTAGTATCACAACTCTGGCTCTTTTTCCCTTTTTTTCCATTATAGTTGCATGAAGTAATTTTTCCAGCCCTTCATTTTCAGTCTATTGTGTGTTTGTCAATAAGATGTGTTTCTTGTAAGCAATATATAGGGGGTTCCTATTTCTGTTGTTGCTGGTTTTTTTTTTTTTTTTTTTTTTAAATCCATTAAGCCAGTCTGTATCTTTTAGTTTGGGAATTTAATCCACTAACATTCAGTATTAATATCAATATGTGGACTTATCCCTATCATTTTGTTTCTCTCTCTCTCTTTTTTATTTCTAGTTGTACTGTGTTCTTTCATTTCTATTTACAATCCTTTAGTTTTTCTGGTGTAGTATTCTTTAAGAAAGTTGTGATGAGTTAGTCTAGTTTTGGTGACTTTTTTTAGCTTTTATTTATCCAGGAATGATTTTATTTTCCATTCTTATTAAAGGATAATCTTGCCAGATACGGTCTTCTTGGATGACATTGTTTTATTTTCAGAGTTTTAAATATGTCTTCTCGGGCCAGCAGATGGTGCGGTGGTTATGGGCGCTGGATTCCCACGTGGCCGACCATGGTTTGAGTCCTGGACCTGGTGGTTTGCTTTCTCACTTTCTCTCTCTCTCTCTCTCCCCCTCCCTCCCTCCCTCCCTCTTTCTCTGGTAAAGATAAATAAATGGATAAATAAATAAAGTCAAATAAACTAATTATTTTTTTAAAAAAATATGTCTTCTCATTCTTTCCATGCCTGCATTGTTTCAGCTGAGAGGCCTGATATTAGTCTAATGGGGTAAACTTTGTAAGTAACTTAACATTTCTCTCTTGCCATTTTTAGAATATTGTCTTTGTCTTTGATTTTTTACCAACTTGCCTTGGAGAGGATCTTCTTATGTTAAATCTACTTGGTGTTCTTTGTATTTCCTGGATTTGGATGTCTGCCCGCCACTCTAAATTTGGGAAGGTTTCAGCTATTATATCAGGAAATAAAATTTCTATGCCTTTACCTGTCTCTTCGCTCTCTGGAATATCCATTATGCAGTATCTAATAATTTAATTTCATTTGGGGTTTCCCCTATGTTAACCTCATTTTTAATGATTATTCTCCTCTTCTCAGTCACTTGAACTAAATCAAAGGTTTGTCTTCAAGGTCAGAGATTCTTCTTCTGCATGGTCTTATCTACTCATAACACTTTTGAGGGAGGTTTTGATTTTCTACACTGTATTCTTTATCTTCAGAAGTTCTGTTTTATTCTTTTACAGGATGTATATCTCTCTTTTTAAAATTTTTTTTTTTAGATTTTTTTGCTATAGGGCACATGCACTCACCAGAAAGACAGAGAGACAGAGAGACAGAAAGCGAGAAATCACCCCCTCAAGGGGGATGGTCACGCTACAATCCTTTCTCTTCCATTCTCCTCTCAGGATCTTGGTCACACATGCCCACACGCCTGGCGTGAGTTTAAATCACCGGATCCAGGACTTGAACCACAGATGGCTACATGGGCGTCCAGTGACATAGCCATTACGCCAACTGCTGGTCCCATGGATATATATCTCTTTATGGAGTTTCTCCTTCAAGTTGTGGAAAGATTTTTCTCATCTTGTAGAACTGGTTGTCTGTTTTCTCTTGCATCTCACTGAGTTTTGCTATGATGAATATTATGAATTATTTTTCAGATATTTCTGTGCTCTCTTGTGTTTTATCCATTTTTGTGAGGAGTTACTGTGTTGTTTTGGGAGGGGAGGTATTTCCTGTTTTTTTTCATATTTCTTGGAGTTCTGTTTTGGATTTTTAGTCATCTGGTGATAGATTCACTTCCTCCTACTTCTTTGGAGCTTATTTCTGTAGTTGTGTGCTCATGCACTTCCCTATGGTGTGTGTTAGCTCTGTGAAGATTTTCTTTTACTGTGGGTGGGAGTGTGGTATCCACAGTGGGAGTTTTGGCTACAGAATTCACAGAAGAGTTTCTCCCCTTTTTCTGCTTGTGGAGGGTAGGAGTTGCAGGGAGATAATTCCTCTAGAGCTTCACTGTCTCTAGATTTGGTTCCTGTATACCTAAGTCTCTCTGGTCCCATTGTGACTGGGAGCTGAGCTTCTTACTCTGAGACTGCAGGAACTGGGATGGTGATTGATGAAGGCCAGGGAAGCTCCTCTTCCTACACTCCAGGCTGGGATGGGGGCGTTGGTAGTCAGCTCAGGGAGGGTGGCCTGTTTCCCTTTTACTCCTGGGTAGGTGGTGGGTAAGGTGGCATCAGAACAGGCTGGGTGGCAATTCCTACCTTCTTAATCTGGGACTACAGGAACCAGAGTAGTGGTTAATGAAGGCCAGGGTAGCCCTTCCTCCCACTGTCCAGGCAGGGCAGGGGACGTTGGTGATCAGCTAACCAAGCCTTCTTTGTACCCATATTTTAAATTAACCTACCCATTATTTTGTCTTCATATTTCCTAATTTATTAATTTTTTTAAACATAGTATAGATGCTACTTTTGATTGATCAATTGATCTATTGTCTATTTGTCTCCACTGGGATCTAAGGCAAAACTTTTCTGTGTTGTGTGTTGTTGAGCTATCAGGGCCTAAAGCAGTGCTAGCCCTAGAGTTCCACTCAATAAATTGTTAAAGTGAATGATTTATTCTTTGTGTCATCCTAAGAGTCTTGTGCAATAGCTTTTTGAGGTAATACAGAGAAAGTTGGGGGGAATAACCTGAGACCTGGCCATTAGGGCAGCAGCTCATGCTGGGGGTTGACCAAGGTGACAACAGAGAATATTTTAGGCAAGCAGGGCAGAGCCTAATATCTGCAGCAAACCCACAAGTCATGTGAACACTGAGCACTTGGCTTTCCATCAGGGTTTAACTGAGTCTCCCTAGGCAGACGAAACAGGAGACCTGGGGTGGTCCTTGGAGGGTGTAAGGACTGCCCACAGAGCCTCAGTAAAAGAGCAGAGCTCTGTTCTTTGCAACACTGGTAAGTAAGAACATGCAAAAAAGACACCATATGCTGGGGTGGGATAGATTGACAGAGTTCCAGGCCCTGTGAGGGAGGCTGGCAAAGAGATCAGAATGGCTGGAAACAAAGCCAAAATTTAATCTGGAGAACAGGAAAGCTGCCACTAGGGAG